CTCGAACTCACAACCCACAATATTATGACCTGAGCCGACGTCGGACGCTTAATCAACTGGGCCACCCAGGCGCCCCACTTATTAATTTTGTTGCCTCATGTATTAACTTGCCAGAGTTTGAGGACTCTCCTTTATATGGTTCATTTTCTTAGATTCATGGGTGTCAGCTCGTATGTTTTTGGTTTCCCTGCTGTCCTATCTGTTGTGACTCCTCCAGTTATTTGGCAAAAGAGGTGAGACGTTCTGCTGGATGCAGGGTGCCAACAGATCATCTATGGAGGAGGAGACCCTGTGTCCTCTGGTGTCACCAACATGCCCAGGAAGGCTCTGCCTTTACCCTCTCTGACCTTGTGTAGGCACACACATTTGGCTTCCATGGATTGTCATAACCGGACATGAAAAAAATCCAGTGCCACTTCTGCTCCCTGTGTTCCCGCAGTTCTGTTAGAACCCCCACCATTCACAGATGTTTCCTAATGTCTCTGTGTGTTCCATTAATCCAGTCCACACTATTGTCAGTCTTCCAAGAGATAGTCAACACGTCTAATGGCGTTTTTTTATAATAATGCTTTAGATTTATTTAGAAGATCATTTCTGTCATTCCTAAGATTTGGCTTGAACAAAGAAGATAGATGTGTGAGGTCAATCTGCAATCTTTACTTTTTTCATTTGGATGTCGATTCCATTTCGTCTTCCCAGTTTCCCTCCTGCACGAGCATTCCCCGGACCCTCCCCTTACACTCTCTCCTCCTGCCTTAGTACTGGTACCCAATAAAGTGTCTTGGCCGAAATGGATACCCTAAAATATTTCTGTTCATAACTTGCTGTGGCATCAGATAGTGTGGGATTAAAAGAAAAAGGCATAAACTGCCAAAAAAAATTGAATTTATACAGGGCAGCAGATTCTGTATAAAGACCTAATCAAAACAATTACTGTATAAAACTTAAAAATTAAGTGCATACAGTTTTAGTAGTCACTCTTTATAATCCTGGAAGAATAATCCCAATATTAGTGATAATCATTTCCATAGTCCATTTAAAGGGAACCATAGGCAATTGTGTACCGATCTAGTTTAGTTTAGCACACCTCCTTAGGTGTGCTTTAAAAACAAACAAACAAACCACAATGTGTTAATTTTGAGCCAACATCATTGTTGCACTCTTTCATAAAAATTAATTTGGGGATGCCTGGGTGGCTCAGTCCGTTGAGTGTCTGACTTTGGCTCAGGTCATGATCTTGCAGTTCGTGAGTTTGAGCCCTGTGTCAGGCTCTGTGCTGACAGCTCAGAGCCTGGAGCCTGCTCTGGATTCTGTGTCTCCTCCTCTCTCTCTGCCCCTCCCCTGTTCATGCTCTCTCTCTCTCTCTCTCAAAAATAAATAAACATTAAAAAAATTTTTTTTAATTAATTTGTTGCTTTTTTGTATTTTAATTTTTAGAGATTGTAATTTAAAACAAAATAAAGTATTACACATGCTGCATTTTATTCAGTGGTTTTTACTGGGTGCCTAACTCAAAACCAGGTATCTTGCAAATGCTGTGGACATGGAAAGAAAGGAATAACACAGCACCACCAAAGTACTTGGGGCATACCTACATTTGTACCTATCTCAAACTATTGTATTCCCCTGTTGCCATTTGTCACTGACAAGCCAGGCTGGGAGCTCCTTGAAACATATCAAGGCTGCTTCATCTTCTTTTTGTATTCTCTGTATCTGCACAATACTTTGCTCAGAAGACTCGCTCAATAAATGTTTAATTGCTTAGTATTATGATATTTATGGACCTAATTGGTCTAATATGGCTGAAATAAGATTACTGTTCAATATTAGAGACTAATAAGGGGAAAGAGAAATAGTAAGAACACTTCAAACAGAAATAGTAAGAATACTTCATATATCAGTTGCTAGACAAATAGTATTTGCGCATTTTGTAAATAGGAAAAACGAGATCCAGAAAGATTAAATACTTTGAAGAGGCATCACCTAGCCATGTACCCAAAATATCTATTCTAGCACTTTTCCTTTCACAGCACAAGTTAGACTGATATCTGGAGAATGAATTGGCCAACCTTATAAATGTTTACCACTTTGCAATCCTGGATAGCTGATGATCTATTTCCTTTGATAGAGAGTTTGGGATCTTTTCAAATATGTAGTAATCCAAAAAGCATTGAGTTCAGGCACCAGAAGGCAAAACTAGCTGCTGAGAGGAGGTGGGGGAAGGCAGACTTAGTTATCTGCTCTTTTCTAAGCAACTAGTAATCAGAAAGCTTTTACTTACTGAGAAGGAAAGAAAAAAAAACTGTTGCAAAAGAAAAGCCGTTGCATTTATAAATAATTCACCCCTATAGAAAGTCACCATGACTCCCCACATTAGAATTACAGGATCACAGAATTCTGGAAATACAAAAGAGCAAGTACATAGCCGTTTGATAATCAATAGTTAGAAAAAGCCTGTACTCCAGCAGACAAGGCTTTTGAGGTCTGATCTCACCAGACATTTTAGGATCATTTCCCCTTATTGCACCTTCTGGCCTTAATCATAGGAGATTCTTATTTTCATTCCTTTGGTAAGTGTGCACTTTTAAATCTTCAACATCACTCCTCTACCCAAAACACTCTTCAGCCCCATACTACTTGGGTAATGCCTCCTGATGCTTCAAAACTCTGTTAAATTCTGTCTGCTTTGGGAAGCCTTCCCTGACTCCCCAAACTGGATTTTACCTCAGGCATAAGATTTGATTCATCATGTCACTGTCCCAAGGATACCTGTGTCATAACCACTTGTGTATAATGTCTTTCTCCTTATCTGTAAGTCTCCAATGTAGGATGTAGGAAACATTTAACATCTAATAGAATTGTAATTCTACCCTCCAGTTTTTAATTAAACCATTCAATCCTCTAATTTTACTAATGAACACTGAAGCCCAGAGAGGTAAGACTTGTCAATTGTCAGAGTACAAGCCAATGTCAGAGCTCAGATAACAAATTATGCTCTCTTTCCTAATTCACCCTCATAAGGGAAAAAGGGCTGGCATGGTAGAGTCTGGAGTAACAAACGCACTCTTCTTGGCTATCTGCCTAACTTTTTACTCAAAAGTCTGACTGCTATACTGTATTGCTGGCAACGTCAGATTTCCTCAATAACAAAGACTTCCCAGTTCAGAACATATACATATGTGGCTAATAGGAAAAGTGAGCAAAAGTCCAACATGATAAACAGGGAGGTATGTCAAACTCCTGTTCAGTCTATGAAAAACCTACTCATAATTTTAACTTTGCTCCCTTAAGTATGGAGAGAAGGCATAGCTCATTTGGAAAATCTGACCAAAAGCCCACATTTCAACACAGTGAAATGCTTTATCCCCTATTGCTTCTACCACACCAGGAACTTTCTATATGTAATTATTTAATCTCTAGCCAAAAACTAGTGGACAATGAAATCCCCACAAAATGTTTCCCCCAGTGAAGTGTTCAAACATCAGTTCCACAAAAAACATTTTTAAAAGCTTTTCATGTAATTTTTCCATGCCAACTTTTTTCACTCATGGCTACAAATGTCCATATTTGAATATTCATCATTATGAGCATCTGGTAAAATATAGCCCTGTCCAGCAATTTACATCATTTGACTATGAGACCTTAGGAGGGCATAGGTAAAAATTTCCAGTTTCATTTTGTCTGGATTTTTAACCATCTTTTTCCACTTCATGGCTTTGGGTGGTTTTGATTGCACTGATATTTTCTGCTCTCCATTACTATTGGGTTTTTCTACCAATGAGCAGGTTGCTTTCAGGCAAGTCCTTGTGGACTTCATCAATGGCTCACTAGAAATGGCAGAATGAAGCCACAAATCACATTAGTGTTTTCAATATCTTGTGGGTTTTGCCTTAAACCAGTAAATAAAGGCCACAATGGTGATGCCCCCATAATAAGGTGGATGTACTTAATGCCTGTGAACTGTACATCTACCAGCGGTTAAGATGGTAAATTTCATGTTATGTATACTTCACCACAAAGTAAAGGCCAACTTACAGGAGGTAACAATTTTCCCAAAACGTGGGTCAAGACAGAGGAGGGAAAATCCAATGATGATCTCTACTGTTCAGATACAGCAAATGAGTTTTACTTTGCAGTTCCAACAGGCCTCTAGGCAAGGCTCCCAACCCTACTGCTTTCTTCTGTGGTGTGGACAACAGGAAAGCCAACTACTGCCAAATGAAATGCAAACCTCACAAACGGAGAGTTAACCCATAGAATCATGCATGACCTTTTGCATACTGACTGGGTTCTAAGGTCATGGATGACTCCGCAGCTCCGAATCTTTCAGTTACTTCTCAACTCCTGTCCCTCACAGAACACTGAACAGGTGTCCAGTGTGGCTGTGCATGTGTTTAAATTCTAGACAGCTGTCAGAATGTAACTCCCTAGAGGATTACAGTGTTCTGACAATTTTGAAGGACATGAGAAAAAAAAAATGAGATAATAAATGCGGAACTGGTGGTGGGGTGGGAGGGGGCAAACATGGAGAAGATTCCGCAGTGAGCAGACTGGTTGTCTTCCAAACTCCTAAAAGAAGCCACGTGGTGGGCTTATTTTGGAAAACACAAAGCAGCAAAACCAGCAGGAAGAGTTACCCCGAGGCAGTTTGATGCCGTGTCCGGAAGAAACGTGTAACCATATAGGAGAAGGCTGTTTATGCATCCCTTTAGCCTTCCGATTCACTGAATGCCTTGGAGATGTTCAGCGGGAGGTAAATGGAAGGCACTACTGCGTGGTGCAGACTACGGTGAATGAAGTTCAGGGTGCATGCAAACCAGCCGGGTCTCTAAGGGGAGAGGGAGGAGTGGCGGGAAAGTGAAAAGCTGGGGAAGGAAGAGCGCTTACCAGGCCACCTCCACAGGTGCTGAAAGAGGCCAGCGAGCCAGGGTGCTGCAGCACCGCCCCGGTGTAGAAGCAGGAGGCATCGGGCGGCGCCGGAGGGCGCCGGGCCGCTGCTGCCAGCGTCGGGACGGGGCCCGGACTCGGCCGCTGCTCCACCGCGAAGCGCGGCGCCAGGAAGCGGCCATCTCTCCGGAGCAGCAGGTACAGGTCCCGAGAGAAGGCCGGGATCCGCAGCAGTACCTCGTCACCGTCTGACTCGGCTTCCTGGGCCGGGGGAGGAGACGGGGGTGGCTGTGGGGGCGGCGGCTGCCACGAGGCCGGGGCGCCCGGGGACAGGGCGGCAGCCCCGCCGGATCCCCGCGGCAGCTCCTGCGATTCGAACTCCTCGTCCTCCTCGCCCGCTGGCGGCGACGGCGGCCGAGGTCGGGGCCGGGGTGCGGAATGGCCCTCGGCGGGCTCGCCCGGCGGCGCCGGGGCCACCGAGCGCACCTCGCGGGAGCTGCCGGCCGCCTGAGTTCGGGCGCCTCCGCCGCCCCCAGCGCCGC